TCCTGCTGATGTCAGCCACGCTCTCACACCCTCGCAAAGGCTGCTGCTGCAGCAGCAGAGACCAGACACGAGCTGTAGATACGCGCAGGGCTCTGGTAGGGCAAACCCAGCCCCGGAGAAAGCTCTGAGGTGAGGTGGGAGGAGAAGCCAAGACTCAGCCCTGCGTCTTCCTACCGGTGCAGCGATCCTCAGAGCAGCGCGGCTAGTACAAGTGAGGCGGAGAGAGAGAGCGAGAGCGCGCCAGCCTTGTTTACCAATCTGGGAAGAAAACGTTATAAAGCCTTTGTCTTTTGGAAGTCAGCATCTCTGCTTGGCGGCCGCTGCTGATGACAGTCACGTTGCGGGGTTTCTGCAGCTCTTTCTCCTCTTCTCTTGTTTCCTGGCGCTCCGGGAACGTCTTGATAGAGCTGCACATAATTATGACCGTAATAGCAGATTTATTTATTTTTTAAATCCCATGACCCACGGCCGTCTTTCCATTCATCATGCTGGCGTTTGGCGCCTGAGACTCCTTTGTGCGGAAAAAAAAAGCCATCACATGATCCCCGTTTGAAGACGAGGGAAACTGGGAGCCCGAAGGAACTGCGTTGTTTCCCGTTTTGGTGGGTCAGCTTTCTTGATGGTGGCAGGGGTGGCGCTTTCTGCAGACGTCGCCAAGCCCACCTTCTACGACGGGGGGCAGCTGTTCAACGCAGTTTGAATCTTATTTCGTTTTTGCCACATCCGAGGCGCAGAAAGCGTCACGTTTCTCTTCAGTGGCGACTGAACATTGAATGTGTAGGAATATGCTCATGAAGGAGTACCGGATCTGTATGCCTTTGACAGTTGAAGAGGTAAGTGAGAGGGCTCTCTTGAACCGTGTCTCTCCTGAACGCGGCTCGAGTGGACTGAGCGAACAGCCGGTTTGTATTAATGGGGTTCTTGCGAATCCCATACAAATCTGTTGAAACACACACACACAATCCTGCTCTGTTCGGACAAGGGAATCATATTTCGCTTGTGATACAAGGAAACTGCTTGTAAGCGAAAGTAAATACGCCAGTTTACGATGTCATCAAAAGTCTGGATTGGCTACTCAGCTTTGTCAAATACACACATGCAAACATCAAGTGAACAAACACACTTCTGAGGGGACTGATTTGGGTTGAAATGATTTTTTGCCCGACCAAAGAAAGCTTCAACACATAAAACATGGGTCCCTAAACTCAGCTTGTGTTTTTTTTTAAAGCAACTCCTTCCATAATCCAAGTTTCGCTATTTGATCTTTTTAACGTTTCTGTGATGTAAAGCAGCATTTGCAGGTAGGATTCCTTCCCTCCCCCCCCAGTAATTTTTTTAATTTACCCATTCCATTCCTGAGACATTTTGTTGATGTGTGATGCTTATATATATACTTGTATACATTACTTATCTTTTTTTTAAAAGTAAATCTTGAAAACAAATGACAGACTGAAAAGGGAGAAAAAACATGGAACTGAATATGCTGATCATAGGTTGATCATATTTTTACTAGTGGGATGCAATAGGGTTAGGTATTATATTAGCTATGTTTTAATTTTTTATTATTTTATTTGGGGGAAAGTTAATATTATTTTATTGGGGGAAGTTATATTGTTGCATGTATAATGGCTCTCAGCCTCCTTTCTAGCAAGTGGAGAAGCTGACAGTGCCTTAAATTTTGAATATGAACCTCAGGAAGATACAAGATACTTCTTTAATGGCAATTAAGGCAACTCTTATAAAGTTTCTTTTCTGCTTTATCTTTTGGCAATGTGCAAAATACATTTTTAATATGTCTATAATCCACAAGGGGGAGCTTTGAATACATTTTTTTCAATAGACCTTTTTTCTTCCTTGTATCTCTGTTCTTAATGCAAATTCACAGAACCTGGGGTTAGAAAACTGTTACTGGATTATGTATTGCAACTATCTTTTTAGTTTTTAAAAAATTAAATATGTCACTGCGTTCTTATATTGAAAAAGATTTCTGGGCTGCCATGACTTTGTGTTGTTGGTACCAAAGTAGCAAGATATACTGATAATAAATACCACACTTTTTGTGCATAACAGTAAACTTGAAATGCAAGATTTGAGTTCTCGGATGCAAACTCTTTTGCATCTATGTATAATTATTAGATACCCCCTTTCAGTGCATCTGAAATTTGTGATATCATTTGGTCCCTGCTGCATGTACTGGATGTTGTATATGTGCATGAATCTCCCTCCTGTACACGCCCTCCCCAACAAACCGAGGCCATAGTGCTGAAAAGAGCCTTGTAAATAGGTAAAGGTAAAGGTTCCCTTGCTCGAAAGCCAGTCGAATCCGACTCTAGGGTTGTGGTGCTCATCTTCGTTTCAAAGCCGAAGAGCCAGCGCTGTCCGAAAACGTTTCCATGGTCATGTGGCCGGCATGACTAAACACCAAGGCGCACGGAACGCTTTTACCTTCCCACTGAAGTGGTACCTATTTATCTACTTGCAATTTCTTGCTTTCAAACTGCTAGGTTGGCAGGAGCTGGAACTAGAGACGGGAGCTCACTCCGTCATGCGGCACCCGGGCCTTGAACTGCTGAACTACCGACCTTCCACAGCCTGCAGTTCAGCGCCTTAACCACTTGAGCCACCGCAGCCTTGTAAATACTATTGGGTTAAATGTAAAAAACCCGAAGCTTTGGAAGTACAAAAGCTTTACGCAGTATTCCCAATCCTCCATGTTTCCTGGTTGAGGGGAAAATGCTGTTCAAACAAATTGCAAAGATGATCTGACTCCAATGGTAACAAGAGAAAGAAATTTTACTTACAAAAATAGAAATCCCAATATGATTGAGTTTGGGGGTGCCTGTTTCAAATTTTGCACTTTGTACTGAAATGGGCCAATCCTTGAATGAAACTAAGGCATGGATTAAAACTTTTAAATTTTAAGGCTGAACCTAGCAGTCTACTCTCTTATCTAAAGAGTGATTCTTACAATGCAACTTGATTAGATGGAATTATGTTCAAACTCAATCATATTGATATTGCAGTAGATGATTTACTTCTATCCGATGAGTCATATAATTTTAGTTTTATTAAACAGAGGCTCTTGGAACTGGAATTCCACACACTCTGCCCTGCTCAGCCTTATATATGCTCTCCTGCTTTTTTAAGTTTAGATACCCAGCCTGGGATAATGTTGAGTTACTTATACGATTCCTTCCCAACGTAGATTCCTTACCAACATAGAGCTTTTATGCTGGCTAGAATGAACACAGTCCCCTTTAATGTTCTCTGTGGGAGATATAATCAAACCCCTTTTTATGAGATACTTTGCCCTTGTGGTATGAATCTTCCAAAATCAGTCTTGCATATAATACTTGAGTGTCAGTTTAATTACCGTTTACGTTGGGAATTGTTTGGAAATGTATCCCAGGTAATTGATCTTAAGAATGTTGCAATCAACTGTCGGTTCTTATTGAATGACTTGGTAGCAAAAATTACTAGCGTAGTGGCAAAATTTCTGGAAGAAATTCTTAAAGCCAAATCTAAGGCTATTATAAATTGATTTTTATATAATCTTATGTATCTATGTTTTAATTTATGTATATATTTAATTCTATATATTGATCTTAAATGTCATGTTAAATTTACTATGCCAATAAAGGTATTGTAGTTGTAAGATGAAACAGAAGACAATCAATAGCCATAGAGGCTCAACATCTAACCCATGAGAGGGTGGGGCCAGTGGCCAAGTGTACCAGAGCAGATAATTCTCTTAACCCTTTCCCTCCCAGATCCCCTTGCATGCAGAATTACAATATCCTTGAGTATGTTGTGCCATGTCAAATATAAAGTTACAATATCCAACACCCTTTCTTACTGTCACAAGCAAGAGTTCTCAAGTTGCAGCTTATCTCACAGTTTTTAGAATCTGTCTCTAGGTAGAGGCTTGGTCAGGATTTTGACCCCCATCTTTTCTGTTGAACAGTACTCCATCTCTATTATGCCCTTCTCTGTTAGGGCACACACTAAGTGAAACTTCACACCAATGTGCTTAGTGCATGTAGCCATTTTTTCTGATTGATAAATCTTAATGCAGCTCTGGTTGTCTTTAAGGTGAATTGGCTTTTGCTCATCAAGTCCAAAGTCCTTTAGTAACTGATCTAGCCACAACAGTTCTCTGCATGCTTCAGCAGATGCTATATATTCAGACTCTGTGGAAGACAAACTTTGATTTCTAATGGCCCAAGAGATTGGTCCACCTTGACAAGGTCTCATTTATGACAGATCTGGCTCTCATAACAAACAGGTTTGACAACATGGCTATCCGCCTGAATCTTCCTAAATGAAGTTGGAGATGTCTTGTACATACCTGAATCAAGCTGTAGTTTACTGTGTGTGCCTACATTAGATAACAAAGACTTTGACATATGTTTTGGAAATAAGAAATGCACTATTAGCAAAGACAATGTTGTATATGCACAAGGTAACCAAAAAAGAAAAGTATATGAGTTGAGTCTTGCAGATGAACAGGTGAGAGCTACATGTTTGTCTACAAAACTATAGTCTTTCCCAGAGAAATAACTACAATTTGTATGAGGCAGTGTAAGAATAGAGAGACAGCCATGTATAGTGGTCAGAAGCAGCTTACTATCTGGGAAGTCTAAATCTAAGTTCAAAACCCCCAGTCTACAAAGGAAATGTGCTGGGTGAACTTGGTCTGAACACACACACTCAGCCTAATCCAGCTCACTGGCTTGTTGTTATTCCTCATCTAAGTAGTTCACATTGTTTTTCTACTAAGAAAGACTGGATCATGAGGGCATGAATAGAGTGGAAAAAGTGGAGGGGAACCCAGTTGCATCCAGGAGAGTCCTGGCATAACAAACCCAACAAAACTTGCTCTGTCGCTCTCATTCTCTCTCTGTAAAAAGGCAGAAATCTCATACTTTGAATAAAACCTTGTTGGTCTTAAAGGCACTTTGTATCTCTCCTATGTGATTGAGAGGACTGAGCAAAGTAATATCTCTCCCCTGCGATTGAAGGAACAGGGCAAAGCAAGCCCAGGAGATGAGGAGAGGGAGGAGCCTCAGCCAATGGAGGGAAGAGAGGCTTTGCTCTGTAGTTCTGCTGTGCAATGGAGAGAGCCTGGCAAATCAAACTCTCTCCCTCCCCCTCTCTTCCTTCCCAAGGGAGGAGCCTCAGCCAATGAAGGGAAGAGAGGCTTTGTTCTGTAGCTCCTGTGCATTTTACTGGCCAGTTTCCAATTTGCCCTATTTGGGCAAACTAATTGTGGCAGTTCGATTGCAGAGCTTTTTGGATGACAATTCCACTTTAGATCCCTTCCAGTCCAGCTTTCACCCAGGACACGAGACGGAGACGGCACTGGTCACTCTCACGGACAGCATCTGGATTGAGGCAGATTGGCAGTGCTGCTGTTGTTGGACCTGTCGGCAATGTTCAACATGGTTGACCATCAGCTACCATACTGATCCACCACCTTGTTGATACTGGAGTCCAGGGCTTTGCCTTACAATGGCTTGCATCCTTTCTTCAGGGTCGGGGACAAAGGGTGGCACTAGGGGAACAGCTATCCCAAAGGCATCCACTGGTTTGTGGGGTGCCTCAAGGGGTGGGGCTTTCCCCAATGCTATTTAACATCTATATGTGCCCCCTTGCCTAGATTGCCCAGAGGCATGGGCTGGGGTGTCACCAGTATGTGGATGACACCCAGCTCTATCTGTTGTTGGGTGGCTGGTCTGACTGTACACTGGAAGATCTGGACCAGGCATTACAAGCCGTGGCTGATTGACTTAGACTGAGCCGACTTAAGTTGAATCTGACGAAGATGGAAGTC